CTAAGAAAAACACTTTTTTATTTTCATCTTTAATACATTTTGCTTAAGTTAAATATTTACTTTTCTTTTCTCTTTATTTGGTTAGTTTATACATATGTTTTTCATTAGTTTATACATATATTTTTCACCTTCCTTAGTATCTAATTTGTTATAAAGATCACTAAAAACATAATTTTTAACATCACAGATTGTTCTTTTAGACTCCCTGCGAGCCGTTTGATGTTTTTATCAGTTCTCTAAGCTTTTACATTTAAACCAATTTTTATAACATATCTTCTTATATTTTATTTTTTCTTATACATTATTATTCTACCACCAACTATTTTTATTTATAAAAATTTTTTCTTTTGATTCTCCAAAAATATCTTTTACCATTTGTTTAATAGTATTTGTTACTTTATCTCACATAGCATTCCCTTCTTCATGAACATCCCAAATTTTGAAATATTGAATTTTACTCATAAAAATAATTTTATATGTCTTTTAGGTTCCCCCATTTAATTCTAAGATGATGAGTCTTAGTATTTTTTATTTTACAATTCTTCATCTTAAAATCTAGAACTAATAATCGATGTTGGGTACTTAAATCCTCACTTGGAATGATCTTACAATCTTTACAATCTCGACGATTTCTTCTCATAAGAAAATATTCAATTTGTGTTTTATTATATATATTCTTATAAGTAATAAGATGCTCATCTCTTTTCTTGAATAAAGTATTAGTAATAACAAATATCATATGCTAAAGAAAAATTTAAAATGACTCTTCCTTCTTTATTAGTCACTCCAAAACCGTAGTCACCTTTAATATTTCTGAAATCTTTTACCGCTCTACCGATATGTCGATTTAAATCTCATCCAATAAAAACCTAAACCTGAAAGGTTAATTTAAAATAATAGTGAGCTGCAACAATCAATGAATACTCTTATATTTAAATTGTAGTAATATAATGAAAAAATAAATAGTATGCATGTCAGTTAAATTTTTAATAAATCGGTATAAGAGCATGACAATTTATATTTATGAATATGATTGATCAAGATATTTTAAAAAAAAATTTAGTTCATATTATATCATTTTTATATCCATATCATTTTATATGCAATCGTCATAGAAACACCGTCTAAAACTTGTACCAATAAAGATACATCAATATAAAAAATATTATTTATTTACTTGCACGGGTATCTTAGAGTTCTTTCACTGGTACCATAAAAGGGATATCATTCACATTTTTATTGCATTTAATATGTCATATTTTATGGATAATGCATTAAACATCTCGTATTTAAAGACTTGAAAAATTTATATCTATATGACCAATAAAATTGAAGTACGAATGAATCAAAAGAAAATTCTACAAGTGCATTAATCTAGTATAAATAACTAAGCACACAGCTAGTTTAGAAGAAGTAGAAAATGTTACTATAACATAGATGATATTTACTTTGATTTCACCTTATGAAATGATCCTTTCTAAAACTTGTTCAATTGATTTGTTTGATTCTTCTTTGTCTTTTAATTCAATAGTTTGTCAAATTTATTCAAAACATTATTTCATGAAATTTTAATATTAAATTAATAACATTTTTAATTAAAATAATTTATATAATTAAAGTATAAAACTAAATCCTTACCTTTACTTCATGTTGTCTTTCTTTTTTGCACAAACACCGATCCCGATCTCTCGTCGTTGTTTGACCAATTAATCACTTTAGTCTCACTAAGTATCCTCGATCCAACCCAAATATTCCGTGCTTTCTATACTTTCAATACTTTGATTTTTATTTCATAAACCATAATTAATTAATTTCAATTAAAAATAAAATCCAAAAATAAATAAATTAACCCTAACCTTAAAAAATCTCGGTTTGGTTCGATTGCCCTCTCTAAACAAGTCACAAATGAAAGTTGCACTTCAGGGAAGGTGGTAGGGAGGCGACAGGGTGCATGTTGGGTTGTTGGAAAGGTTGGACAGCAAGTGTGGCTGTCGGGAAGGGGGCGTCAAGGGAAAATAGGAAAATGGTGAGGTGCAAGTTGATGGCTAGGTATGTAGGGAAGAGAGGGAGGCTGGTGGCTGAGGGTTGGGGAAGGGATGGGGGTGCAGATCGACGGCTAAGGAGGATGAGAAAGAGGGTAGGGAGGAAATCAGAGAGGATACAAACGGAGCACCACTTATCGTCAGATACAACCCCTAGCAAGGGGAGTACGACTTCACATAGAATTTGAAAGAGAAAACAAACCAAAACATAACCCTAAATCTTGCAAACATCCATATGAATAGAGAGAGAATTGGAGGAAACTAAGGCCCCGATTGAGGCAGCTTATTTGGTGCGATGCATTTTCAAAGGACCATTTTAGTAAACTGTGTTTTGACAGTTTTTTCAAAAAGCCACGTTTTCAAACCTCTAAAATCAACATTTTCACACCATTTCTCGTTTGGTGCTGTGGCAACTTTCTAGCTGCGGTCTGGCCTTTGAAAAGAAAAAATTGTAATGGCCACATCTTTTTGAACAGTAGATTATTTTTAGGCAGCTTATCAACAGCTTATTAATAAGTTGCAGCTGCCCCAAACAGACCCCAGTTATCAATTAAACTAATTCAACAACTTATTTTAGTAATTCATTAATGTATAGAGAAGATCAATTCTTGTCAAAATCAAGCGATTAATTTTAATGTTTTAATCCCTTATTTGAAAGGGTCATGTAGTTTCTTTATGTGGACCTGAAGTTTTAGTCCTTTCAATGTCCCTAATGTTATGGTTTTTTCCATTCGGTTTTATGATATGAAATTATGTTGTTGTAGTAGTTTTGTTGCCTAAACATGCAAAGGTCTTGAGAGTTGCGGTACTTCAGGGAAGGTGGTAGGGAGGCGGAGGCTGCATGTTGGGATGTTGGAAAGGTTGGACAGCAAGTGTGGCTGCCGGGAAGGGGGCGTCAAGGGAAAATAGGAAAATGGTGAGGTGCAAGTCGGTGGCTAGGTATGTAGGGAAGAGAGGGAGGCTGGTGGTTGAGGGTTGGAGAAGGGATTGGGGTGCAGACCGACGGCTAAGGAGGTCGAGAAAAAGGGTAGGGAGGAAATGAAAGAGGATACAGACGGAACACCATTCATCGTCAGATACAACCCCTAACAAGGGGAATACGACTTCACATAGAGTCGGAAAGAGAAAACAAACCAAAACATAACCCTAATTCCAGCAAACATACATATAAATAGAGAGAGAATTGGAGGAAACTAAGACCCCGTTTGGGGCAGCTTATTTGGTGTGATGCGTTTTCAAATGACCATTTTAATAAACTGTGTTTTGACAATTTTTTCAAAAAGCTATGTTTTCAAACCTCTGAAATTAGCGTTTTCACACTATTTCTGATTAGCTTTTGTGACAACTTTCTAGCTGCGGTCTGGTCTTTCAAAAGAAAAAATTGTAGTAGCCACCACATTTTTTTGAACAACAGATTATTTTTAGACAGTTTATTAATAAGTTGCAGTTGTCTCAAACAGACCCTAGTTACCAATTAAACTGATTCAACAACTTATTTTAGTAATTTACTAATGTTACAAAGAAGATCAATTCTTGTCAAAATCAAGTGATTAATTTTACTGTTTTAATCCCTCATTTGAAAGGGCCATGTAGTTTCTTTATGTGGACCTGAAGTTTTACTCCTTTCAATGTCCCAAATGTTATGGTTTTTTCCATTTGGTTTTATGATTTGAAATTATGTTGTAGTAGTAGTTTTGTTGCCTAAACATGCAATGGCCTTGATCCATCGGAACTAATTTTTTTCTCTTACTATTGAGTAGTGAGTTTATATTGTGTAGAAAACTCTAGACTTAACAATCATTAGATAATTTTCCCTTGACATGCAAACTACTTTGTTTTCCTTATACAATGCCAATACTCGTCATTGTCAAATTTTGTTGCGTCGTCATAATGATACTCACCCATGCAAATTTGTTTCCCCAGTTGCTGTCCAAGGCATTAGCGAAGTTTGCATGAACTCAAATTGCACGCTGGGCTACTTTAAACTATGATACTGAACTTGCTGGATATTTTATTATTTTTAAATTGTCTAGGAATCAACCTCAATAATTGAATAGCATAAAATGAAGTTTCTATGGGAACCTATTTACATGAGCAAACTGTTCTAGAGTGATTTTGGTGGCAGGATTCAATGTAATACAGTAAAATTAGAAAAATTCTGCTCAAAACTCAATCCTGTATCAACCAATTTTGTTTGTTTTATAGCTTTGTCTAAAAAATGTTGTTTCTCTTATAGAGGTTTGTTTTGTTGTAAAGGAAATACAAAGTAAAAGGAATGTAGTGTATTTAAAATATAATGTATTTGAGATGTTTTATAGTTATTTGCTCAAGTGTAAATAAATATAGGAGATTATTTTTTTGTGTTTAGTCTGAAGTTCAATGAATTCAATTTAGTTTGGCAGTGGTTGGTTGCAACTTGTGTGGTGTATTCGAAAATTTACCAAATCAGTTGAGGTTTGAATTTACTCGAAGTGAAGTAAAGTTTGAGTTTTAAATACATCAAAATTTTACAGTGAGCATCCTTTTTATCCAATCAAAATCTAAAGGGGTGTTTGGCTGTAAGTAGAATTTAATAAATCCATAAATCGTAAGTCCAATAAATCCACCCTACCTCTGGATTTAGTAAATCCGGATTTGTGCCAAATCAAAGGCAACTTTAGGGACCCTAAATCTGAAAATTCATAAATCCACGGAGCTCTTGCATTTTAGCATTTGGCTAAATTTAATAAATCTGATGATAAAACCCATCAAAAGGTGCTACCAAACACCTTCTAACATTTGAAAATCCTTACAATTGTTTTAAATTATCTTGGTAATGCAGGCAACCAAACAGCCCCATAATGACTTTTGAGTTACTTGCATTGATTAGCTTGGCATTTTAATATATTATATTAAATTTTAGTATGGAGATTTTACATTCTTTGGTTTGTAGCTTTATATAAAATCTTTTTACTACAGATATGATGGCCAACGAGCCCAAATTCACAAACTTTTTGATGGCTCCATATGTATATTTTCTCGCAAAATGAAAGAATCAACTTCTAGATTTCCAGATTTGTTACCAATAATAAAAGAATATTGTAATTCTGCCCATGCAACTTTCATACTGGATGCGGAGGTAATGCTTTCTCACAAAGGGAATTTTCTGATCTATGAAAACTAAACTTGTGGGCTAAAAGTTTTTTTTTTCTTTCATGTGTGATTATTGCTCATTCCTTTGTCATTTTGTCATAGATTGTTGCCGTTGATCGAAAGAATGGAAGTAAGCTCATGTCTTTTCAAGAGTTATCATCACGAGAACGGGGTAGCAAAGATTATTCAGTTGCCATGGATAAGACAAAGGTTGGTGTAAATGATGAAAAATAAAAAAAAAACCCTCATGTTATCCTTCTTAGTTTACTTGTATGTCTTCTATTGGTTGACACTTCAGTACATTTGAAGTTTAACATTAAGAAAAGCATTCATTACCTTGATTGTAGTTTGCATTTCTAATATGCATAATGAAGATAAAGTTGCATACATGACAATCAACTATGAGTAAATGATCAAAATAGTCCCTAGATTTTTTATATAATTCTATTTTAGTTTTTTTTTTTTTTTGGGTCTAACTTAGTTCTTTAACTAGTCAAATATAAATAAATTTGGTCATAGCGTGAACTTTTTCACTTATTTCGATTGAAATCAGCAGAAGAGAGCTTTCTGTAATGGTATTTTGATATTTTTAGGATTAGTCTCACTAAGGGTGTAAACGAGCCAAACACGAGCGAGCCCAGACCCAGCTCGTGTTCGGCTCGTTTATATTTCGAGCTCAAAAGGTGTGTTCGTGTTCGACTCGTTTGCTAAGCGAGCCGAACACGAGCCGTTCACGAACAAAGAGTCATTTTGACAACCCTAATCGCGTAGTCATATGATGTTAAGGATTGTGACAAGATTTAAAACATCATTTGAATCTAATTTAATAATTTTTATTCTGTGTTCTTCATTAATACTTTTAATTGATTATAAATCTTTGTAGCCTTGTAGTCAATTAAATTCTTAAAAAATACTATTCATCAAAAATATGTATATAATTGATTAGTAGTATTTCAAACCAAAACGAGCCGAACACGAACGAACAAATATTTGTTTCTGTTATTCATGTTTGACCTATTAACTTAGCGAACGAGCCGAATACGAGCTTCTAAATGAGCTGAACAAGAGCTGTTCGCGAACAAAGAGCCGTTTTGATAGCCCTAAGTCTCACTACTTAATATTAACTTAACAACTGATATTGATCTTAAAAGTTCAAACAAGGTTTTGAAGATTTAAATGGACATTGAATTGAGAGAATGAGGTCTAAAATTTAATGATTTAAGGGGGTTGAACTAGGTCGTATAATAAATATAAAATATTTTGAATACAATTTCAATGATGAAATAATGGTGCAGGAGTGATATTTTCACCATTTTAATATAAAATTTCAATTCAAAACATTTAATTCTTGAAAATCTTGAATATAATTCTAAATAAAAATTTTGGGATATGATATTGTATTTATTTTCTCAATTTTTAATATAAGTTTATAAATTTGACTTTGAGACCTAGAGTATTGACTTTGAAATTGTGAAGGAATATTGCTCTTCTTCTCTTATTCTCCACTTAGAAAACATATGTTACAGATTTATATACGCTCCCACCTCTACAGATTAGGAATATCTCTAATATAGAAAAGATCTTGTAATTAGATCTCTTCTAATTAGGTTCGTAATATCAAGCTTTGTAATATACAAGCTTCCTAATTTACAAGTTTTGGATTTATTTCTTTCCATAATGCTCCCCCTCAAGCTGGAGCATATAGATATTCATCATGTCCAGTTTGTTACAAATATTAGTTATCCTTGCTCTATTATGGGTCTTTGTGAAGATATCTCCTAGTTGTTCCTCAGTTTTTACATTAGCTATAGAAATTAAATTTTGTAGAATTTTTTTACGAATAAAATGAGAAACTATATCAATTTGCATAGTCGTTCATAGAAGACAATATGTGAAGCAATATTAATTGCAGCTTGGTTACCACATCACAACTTTGCCGGAACTATCATCTTGAAAGACATTTCGATCAAGAATTGGGAGATCTACATCAATTCACTTGAAGCTTGTGCCATTGCTCGATACTCAGATTTTGCAGTGGACCATGACACTACATTTTGTATTACTTTTCCTTGAGACCAAATTATTAACGACAAAGACATAATATCTGGTAATGAGTTTCTAATCAATCTTAGAACTTGCCCAATCTACATCAGAGAAACGTTCAGTATTTTCATGCCCATAATTATGATATAAAATGCCTTGTCCAGGAGCTCCTTTGAGGAAATATAGCATTTTTGTCAAATTTTACCAATGATGAAATGTGAGGGAAGACCTAATCTGACTTCTAGTGCTAACTGAATAAGCAACGTCAGGACGAATCATCGTGAGGTAGTTAAATTTTCTAACTAACTTCCGGTATAATTCAAGATCATTAAAATGCTCTCCATCCTTGATAAGTTGTTGATTAGGAAGCATCAGAATATTGTATGGTTTGTCCCCTAATTTCCTAGTTTCTGCTAATAAATCTAAAACATACTTCCGTTGAGATAGAAAGATATCATTCTTGCTCCTTGAGGCCCCAATCCTCAAGAAGCACTTCAAGAAACTCATATCTTTAGTGTTTAACTAATTTTGAAAAAACAGTATCAATGATAAAATTCTCTGCATATCTCTTCCCATAATAATAATGCCATCATCAAAAAACACCAATAAAATGATTCTTGAAGCAGTTGCTTTTAGAATATAGTGCGATCAATTTAACTTTTTTGTGTCCCCAACTCTTTTACTGCTTGATTGAAATTTTCAAAATAAGATTGAGGGCTTTGCTTCTATCAATATAATAACTTCTAAAGATGACATTCTTTCCCATGCACCCTCTGAGAAACGAACCCATGAGGTTGCTTCATGTATACCTCTTCTAAAAGATCACCATAAAGAAAAGCTTTCTTCACATCAAATTGGCTCAATGGCGAATTATTTATCGCGGCTATGACAAAAATAGATGAACTGAAGTCAACTTAGCTACATGAGAGAACGTGTTGAAGTAGTTAATCCCATAAGTTTGAGCATAGCCTTTAGCAACCAAACAAGCTTTGAGACGAGCTACAAATCCATCAGAATGAAAAATACTTATTTACAACCAACAACCTTCTTGTTATAAGGTAGTTCAATTTGTTCCCAAGTTTCATTACTAGTTAATGCACTCAATTCATCAAGCATCGCCGCCTGCCACCCATAATGAGATGTGGCTTGTTGAACAAAACTCAGAACCTCAATAGAGTCAAAAGAAACAATAGATGAGCAAGAGGCAGAAGATAACTAGTTATAGTTAACACAAGAAGAAATGGGATAGACACATTGATGTTAAACTTTTCGAAGAGCAATAGGTAAATCAAAGTCACTGGGAGGAGGATCCACTGAAGACGATGATACCAGTGTTGGACTAGGATTAGGGTGATGAAATCTTCTAGAGTAAATATTAGTGATCAATTGTATAGACTGAGACACTATTGGTGGAGGTGGAGCTAGATCTGGACTGATTATGCGATACATTAACAAGTCATTAGAATCTTGTGAGGATTTAGGCAATAATGAGTCACCAAAGAATGGGGTTTGTTTATGAAAGGTGACATCAGCAGAAACAATAAACATATTTAAGAGGGGAGAATATTGATATCTTTTTGCAAACAAGAACATTTTAGAAAGAGACACCTTAATAACTTAGGGTTCAATTTAGACACCTGTGGACGAGCATCACGAAAAAAATAAGTATACTCAAATCTATGTGGTTAAATAGGAAAAAAAATTCAGTTGAAAATAAGACTAGGTAGGATATCTGGTTCTGTAAAACAGTAGGGCATCCAATTGATCAAAAAACATGCAGTGAAAACTGCATCAACCCATAATTGTTTGGGCACATATGTTTGAAATAAAAGAGCTCTAACAGTCTTAAGATGTCTATTTTTCCTTTTAGCTACTCCATTATGAAATGGAGTATCGGCATAAAATGACTGGTGAAGCCTCCATTTTGTGCCGTGTATATTTGAAAAGATGCACAAAAATATTATTTGGCGTTGTCACATCTCATAATCTCAACCAAAAATTGAATTGATTTTAATTTCAACACAAAATGATTGAAAATATGACAGTGATTCAGTACGAGATTTCATCGAGTAAAGTCAAGTTATACGAGAAAAATCATTTGCAAAAATGACAATATCGAAATTTATTTGATAAAATAGGACAAGATCCTTCAACATTAGGATGAACCAACTCAAAACTATGATTGACTTTTTTATTAGTTATGGGAACAAAATACAAACTACGTTATTTAGCAAAGTAATATGAATCGCAATCTGAAGATCATAATTGTTGAAATTGAGGGTACAACTTTTTCTGCATTGATAGTGATGGATGCCCCACGTAGTGGGATTAAGGCTTTGTTGTTGTTGTTGTATAGTGATGGATGCCCGAATCGACGATGAACCTCAAAAGGAGATAAGGTGTTGGAACAGACTAGGGGTCGGGGTCCAAAATGTTTGGCCCCCTAGACTCTCGTCCTTTATTAATAATCTTTTTCATCATAAGATCTTGAAACAGACAATAGTCAGGGAAGAATAAGCTACAATAATTAAAACCATGTATAATTTTTCTAATAAAGATAAGATTAAAAGAGAATTAAAGTATACTAGGGACAGAAATTAGAGGTAATGTAGGTGTAACATTAATGTTGTCAAAACTAAGAACATTAGAGGTAGATCTATCTGTTAAGTGACGGATGAAAGATGTTTATGAAAGGTAGAAAAGAGTTTTGGATTACCATTCATGTGATATGTAGTACTAGAATCAATTACCTATTGTGTGGAAGAGGAAAGAAGACAAGTATCAATGTTACTTAACTCAGTAATGACAATGATAGAGGAGTTTTTGGATGCTTTCTTAAAGTGGATGAACTTAGCATATTCATTAGCAAAGATCGAAAGTCCGATTTTGAGACGCCTCATTAGTAGTGACCATGTGAGCTGGTTGTGATCTAAACCCCTTGTGGTTCCTTTTGGAGCAACTTCTGACACGTTCTCTTTATATGAACAAGTTCATGACAATATTAGCAACCTACAACCTACCCTTGAACCTTGATTTTCAGAATTTGGAGTTTCACTTCCGTATTTATCCTAAGACTTGGGTTTGCTAATGTTTGTATTTTTTGACTTGCAAGAGCATCAAGTTATACAAATGAGGCCTAAGAATTCATAATAGTATGCAACACTCTAGTACAGGCTTCCTTCAGAGTAGTAACTCTAAGGTCAGATAAGATCTGTGATTTGATACTTTCATATTGAGAGATGAGATCAGTTAAAAAACTCATAATAGTCATGTGTTTTTTTTGTGCCTTTTGAATTAAGACATCAGTACTGAAGGGAATGTGCATTTAATTCTTCATAAAAACGTTTAAAATTCATGGGATACATGTTAAGTGATTGATCCTTTTGTTCCAATCGATAAAATTTCTTGTATATATCAAAGATTCGAGAAATTTTTTCTCCTCCAAAAAAGACATTGATTCCTCCATCACATCTTTAACACAGTCACAATGAGTAATATGACCAGATTGATTGTGCTCAATAGAGTTTTGTATTTGTATTAAGAGCTTGACATTAATTTTCATATATTCAGAATAATTCAAATTAGTCTCAACTGGGAGATTATTAATTAGCTGGCTCTCTTGAGAAATACTTCTTAAATAGATTCTCACAGTTTTATCCCAATAAAAATAATTAATGTCATTTAACTTTTTATCTGTAATTTTAGCCACTAATGAAATGAAACTTGTCACTTGTTTCTATTCCACAATCATAGTTATCACCTAACATTCAAGGAGAATGAATCACATAATCCCACTAATAGATTTCTCAATGCAACCATGTAGGTGAGTCGTAGGTCGAGATGAACTCTAGAGAAGAACGAGACTGAGTCGTAGGAGACCACTGACTAGATGAACGCTAAAGACGAACAAAAAATATAGATAAAGCCAAAGAAGTTGTGGAAACTGGCAACCTAAGCAAATGAAACTGATAGAACCGATGAACTAAGTAGGATGAAACCAACAAAATCGACGAAGCCTTTGAACGAAACCGAAGATGCCATCGAAGCCTAGTGATGCAGACGACTCGAATGATACAGATGATGCCCAAGGAACTGTCAATGTCTAGCAATGTGAACAACATTGAAGGCAAGCAATGCAAACGAACCGAACGAAACTAAAGACAAAGGATTCCTAGAGGCTGACGTTGAAGACGAATGATGCATATGGGAACAATTCGGCGAGGCTCTAATACCGTGTGAAGGAAAACAACTCTTCTTTTCTTATTCTCCAATTGAAAAATATATGTTACATATTTATATACACTCCTCTCTATAGATTAGGAATATCTCTAATATAGAAAAAATCTTGTAATTAGATCTTCTCTAATTAGGTTACTAATATCAAGCTTGCTAATATATAAGCTTCCTAATATACAAGTTTTGTATTTATTTCTTTCCGTAACAGAAATCAACAATTATTTTATTCTATACTTAACCATTTCATTATATGGTTAATATGCCATTACTTCTAAATATAAAGTCAATTTTATTTCTATTAAACTTATGCTCATTCATGGTTTTTAAACAATGATTTTTTTCTTTTTTTTTTGGTAGCTTGTGTATGACATCAACTTTAAATTTTAATTTATTTTTTTTTCTATTTTATTTTAAATTTAATTGTTCAGCATTCAACCTCTTTCTCCTGTCGGAGCCTTTGCATACAACCATCACCTAACTTCATTTTGTTATTTTAATTATCCCTTGCAATGCAGGCTATTAGCTATCAGTTTTATAAAAAAAGAAAATGCAGAAAATGGCTTTGATTTTATAAACTGTCCGATTTAACCTCTATACGTATCATGCTTCGCTAATTCAATAAATAAAATTTATAGTTTATTAGGATTTAATTGTAAAAGTTAAAAGACTTTCTCTAGCACCATTAATAGTAGAATTTTTTTAGCTTACAATTGCTTTAAATATCAATCCATCCAGTAGAGGATTTGACTAGCACCATTTAACATGAATAAGCATATGATTAATGAGAAAATTGTACTGTTGGTACTTAAACTGATTTTATTTTATAAGTTTTTTATGTTTGTATCAAAATGTAGTAGTTCCCAAGTTCTCAATTATTAGTGAATTCCATGTGAATTTTTAATCGTTATATTGCTTTTGGTTATTCTCTTGCAGGTAGACATCTGTGTTTTCATTTTTGACATAATGTTTTTAAATGGAGAGCGGTAATTATTTTCAACTCCTTTTTTTGTGAGTCATCTGTCATTACAATTATTTCCTTATCTCCTTTTTTGGCCATATGGAGCTCAAAAAATGGCTGTTCTCTATTTTGTTGATTTAGTGACATTTTCTGTTCTTTAACGCACTTACAATAGGATTCATTTTCTAAATAGGCAATTTAAACAAATAGATTTCATAAACTCACATGATTGTAAGGCAATTTAGTGACATTTTCTGTTCTTTTAGTGATACAATTCCTGGTAGTTTGTCTCTTAAACATGATCTGTTTGTTATGTAGTATGTATTCTCTATGTAACAGCAGATGATAAATTAATTTAATATGAAGATTTACATACGTACTACTAAATTCTGATTTATTTGCGTATCTAACATCTAAACTTCAACTTTTACATCCGTAAGTTCTCACCTTACCTATGCATGAAACGGTGTATTTTACTTTTTAAAAGTTACAATGGAGGTATACTTTATGTGATATGAAAGATTTGGGTGATATAAATGTAAAAAAATAAAATTTATGTATTAGGTATGTAAATATATAGGAATTGGGCGGTATGTATGTAAATGCCCTATTTTAATATTGCAGGAAGCTGATCAGCAGATTTGAAGGCTTCCTTCAGTGCCCATAAGAGAAATGGGCACATATCATTTCAGTCCCTTTATTTCAAATAATGATCCTTTTGTATTATCTACCTCTTTATTTTTCGTTGTATTCAAACAACATCCTTCATTTCAGCAAAAGAGGTGTTTTTTTTATTTTAGCTTTTTGAATCATAGAATTCTGATAAAATGTCCACATGCCATAGTACATTTTATTGTTTTACAGATGTGTTCTTAGTGTTCTTATTGATTGTCCTTTGCAAAAAAAAAAATTGTGCGTGGTTAATTACAACTTAAGGCGTAACAGTGCACATATTAGTTGTTGAGGCATTTCATCTTATAATAGATTTATCTATTTGATAACATGATTAAATGAATTTTGCTAAAAATGACCAAAAGAGGCTTTTTTTCCCTCTAATTTGACAGACATTGGGACCTATGGTATTAATGCCATGAATTGAGCCAAAAAAATAAAAATAAAAAAAAAATCTCTGCTGAACTCTGGAATCACTTTAAGGAAGATTTTTATATCTGTAAGGAAATTGTTTGAAAAATAGAATTTGCCTTGTAGACTCAATGATACAAAAAAATAGAATGAAAATAATAGCTTAAGTTAGTGGGCCAACTATCTTGCAAAATAAAACTGTGTTCATAATCTTCTAAAATAAAAAAAAATGTTTTTATTGTACCCATTAGATGTGAAACACAAAAATCCTGTTTTGTCCTCAAGGTACATAGGAAATTTTTTTTTTTTCTAGTGAAAGAAATGAAAGGGAGAGTTGAACACAAGTTTAGCTGTTAAATTTTTTTTCATCCGATGTAATTTAATGTAGTAAGATTTACATACATACCACTCAATTCCTTTGTATTTACATGTCTAATGCCTAAACTTAAATTTTTACATATTAACTTAACTCTGCATGAAAATTTCACCTTTTAGAAGTTAAAATGGTGGTATTTTTTATGAGATATGAAAGATTTGAGTTTTATAAATGTAAAAAGTAAAGTTTAGGTGATAGTATGTAAATAAATAGGAATTGGGTGGTACTGGTATATATGTAAAGGCCTCTAACATTTATTATTAGAAATGCTACTACTTTACACCTATGATAATTTTCTTGTCTTGGTGTCTTTCTATTATGTTATCAGCGGCATCATTTTTTTTCTTTTTTTTTCAGGTTATTGGCCTCATCTTTACGTCGAAGGAGGGAATGTATGCTAAAATTTCCTTGCAAGGCATGATCTTTGTTGTAGTGCTCTTTTAACTCACTTGATCCTTTATTAATTACAGATATAAAGGATTTGATTCAAAAGGAGAGGCCTGGTTACCTGGAACTTGCAAAGCAATTAACTGTATGTGAGAAATTATCCACTTAAACAAACTTATAGCTTTTGATAAAGCTTTCCATTCAACTCCATGTTTAATCTTAATTGCAACGCTTGCTCCTATTTTCTTTGTCACACCCCCAAAACCGATGTCACGACCCGGCCCGATGAATTTGGAATTACCAAGGCATGAACTGAGGGTCGGATGGATGAGATATACTAACAGTTTTATTTCATCACAAAAAAATAAAAATCTAAAGCACAAAAGAGTCATTCTAATTCATACAACCTATATTTAAAATAGATTGTTCATATTTAAATATTTACATTCAGATGAAACAATAAACTAAACTACGAGCTCCTACTACCTCTATGGCTTGATAAGGTCGTTCGTGCCTTCTTCTCTTCCATTTGATCATGATCAGTGGAGGGAAACGATCATAGCAGGTGAGCTTCTCGTCTCATCTACCTCCTTCCTGTACTCCTTCTGCTGCTTCTTCTTCTTACCCCACCAAATCCTATTGTCCTATATATATTGTGACTTGCGGCATCAAATAATTCGAAGGCTTTTTTTTGTATTTTCTTCAAGTGAAGGTGTCCTCGGTTATCAGCTTTTTGTTGACTCAATTAAGCATTTTTCTCTGTTAATTTTCCGATAATACGGTTTCTTTTGCATAAATAAATGTGCATTTATAGAGGTTAAAGATTAAAAAAGGCCTTATTGTTGAAAGAATCAAATAACAATACGGTATTAAACTTTTTCCATTTTCACAGCGTTTTTGTTCTGCTTTTGGCTGTAATATGGCAAGGCTATAAACGTGTGATGAAAATAAAGGATAATTAAATGAAATAGATGTATCAAAAAGGTCCTCTGACAGTGGTCCATTTTAGTCCAGAGTCTATAAAAGTATTAATTTAGTCCCCAATTTTTTTTAACGGTGTCTAAAATATTCCTCATCAGGGAGTTATCTGCCCATATTAAAAATAATTCAGGACTAATTTGACGCTTTTATAGACTCTGGGACTAAAATAACCCAATGTAAATAGTCAAAGTACGATTATGACACTTTAAATAATTTACATTCATTTACCCCCTTGCTTGCTGGTATGCAGGTGGAAGCAGATGAAGCTTGTGTGAGTAATGAGACAACATTGGAAAAACTGAACTCATTTTTTGAGGATGCATGTCATTCATGCGAGGGAATAATGGTAAAATCACTGGATGTTGATGCTGGATATTTTGCATCAAAGCGTGCCGAGACGTGGTTAAAGGTGTGTTCAATATCAATCTTCTTCATTTGATAATTGGAGAATCCTTGGAACAAGTCAAACCTTGGTCCTGTTAATTTAACTTGAAGTTTTAACTCTTTTTTTTTTCCTATAAAAAATACAGGTTAAGCGTGATTATGTGGAGGGATTGGGCGATAGTCTTGATTTAGTTCCAATTGGTGCTTGGCATGGGAATGGAAGAAAGGCGAGCTGGTAGGAATTGGATAAATATTTTCTTCTTTGGGTTATTTTCTTATGGAGCGTCGACATACATACCACCCAATTACATATCTAACCCCTAAACTTTACTTTTTACATTTATACCACCCAAATCTTTCATATCACATGAAAAACACCACCATTTTAACTTTTAAAAGGTGAAATGCACTGTTTCATGCATATGCAAAGTGGCATGTATGTAAAAATCTAAGTTTAGGTGTTAGATATGTAAATACATAGAATTGAGTGGTATGTATGTAAACTTTCTTAAATTGGGGCATTATAAATTTATTTTGCCTTGTGATTGAGCAGGTACAGTCCTTTCCTTATGGCATGCTACAACCCAGATTCTGAAGAATTCCAGAGTGTGTGCAGAGTCATGTCTGGTTTCTCAGATTCTTTCTATGTCAATGTAAGGCCCAAGTTTTCTATGGATTGTTTCATGTTTGGTCTGCAGAAAAATCAGTGTATTGTATTTGTTTTGCATTGGTTTTAAGAATTTTGGCGTTTGGTCTGCAGAATTCCAAAAACTGGGTAAAATATGATCGAATTTAGAATACATTCTGTAGTTCATTTTCTGTGTATTTAGAATTAATCATGGTCTAGCACTCCATAGAAAAGAATCACAAGTTCAATGTTAGAAGGATGAATTTGCAAATACTATTGAGGAGCATAGAATTGCAAAATTGTGACTTCAAAATTAGCGGCGGTCGACAAAAATTAGCATCGAGAGAGGTTTGTGTGGTAGAATCAAAGAAACTTCCTAATATTCTCTCTAAAAATTTCTCCACCTATTCTATATGGTCGGCCATCATTTAAGTAGAATCAATTCTCTCTAAAAATTTCTCCACCTATTCTATATGGTCGGCCATCATTTAAGTAGAATCAAAGCAAATATATTCTGGTGCTTTAAGTTATGCTCATCCATAACTTCAATGGATATAGAATTTTGTTTTTGCTCCATCACAGCACCGCATTGTTGTGCTCTCAGGTTCTGAAGCTTGGATTGGGGGTTGCGGCGTTGTCTTCCGAGCGTTGGGGCGTTCCTGGCTCGGCGCTATGGCTGTATTGGTCCGACACTGTGGCGCTAGAATCAGCAAAAAAAAAAAAAATTTCAAGCGCAGCGCCCCCAAACCAATTACAAGGGGGACAACTCCCGGCACCTCTCGACAAACTTACTGTTAAGTTTGATCAGCGAAATTGAGGGCTTTTTGTGAACAATCACATCAATCAGGCTCTACATAATAATATTTTGTTGACTTTGTGACTAAATCGGCCCAGCAAATAATCAAAGGATTATTTTGGCATTTTACTTGATTCTTAAACTAGTGAATTCAATTGGAACAGTAGAATGCATGGATTGACTTCTATTTCTCTATAAATTAGAGGGTTTAGGATGTAACAATAAAGGTTGAAATAACTAAATGTTTCTCTCCTCAACTATTTCTTTCTCTCTCTCTCTCTGAGTTTGAACTTATACAACCTGTGAAACACTTATAATGGTTACATTCCACTTCTGTACCTTATTATGTTCATCTAAAATAATTTTTTGACAATTATTTGCAGATGAAGGAATTCTTCTCCGGTGAGCGACTGCTATCCAAAAAACCTTCTTACTACCAAACTGATGAATCACCTGATTTATGGTTCTCACCAGAACTTGTTTGGGAAATTCGCGGGGCAGGTACTTCACATACATATCACTCAATTCTTCTGTATTTACATATTTACCACCTAAAGGTTTATGTTTAAATTATAACAATTTTGTATCGTAAGGATATGCATGAAAATGTGTGGTTCATTTTTATAAAGTAGTAGTGATATTGTTATGTGAAGTAGAAGATTTGAGTGTTAGATAAATAAATATATAAGAATTGTGTGGTATGCATTTAAATGCTCCTAAATTCTTATGCATTTAGGTATTTAACATTTAAATATTTATATTTACTAATATGACATCCTAATCTCTTACTCACATCAGAAATATCATTAATATTATTTAAAGTAAAAAAACATCTTTTCATTAATATCTTTTGATGTGATGTAAACAGTGTGTTTAGCTATAGGTATCTATGCATACATACTATGTATCTGTATCTATACATTAATATGCATGTATGTATGTATCTACATCTATATATACGTGTGCGTGAGCGTGCGTGCATGTGTGGGTATACTATGTATGCATATATATGCATGTATGTATTTGTATACATATGTATGTATCTACATATATGTATACGTATGTACGTATGTGTTGAATTTTTTTCTGAGTTGAGTTTAATATACATGATCACTCATGAAATTTGCACTTAAATATATTCAAATTGAATTTTGATCAGAACATCCTAATCAAATTTTGATCAGAATATCTTGGCACTTAAATATATTCAAATTGAATTTTGATCAGAATATCTTAACCTGATTTTTGTACCCCAAACATATATCATTGAAACATTAGGCTGACAACATCTGCTTCTGCATGATTTTTCCGAAGATTTGACGATCTCACCCGTTCATCACGCTGCGATCGGATTAGTGCACCAATCTCGAGGGATCTCAGTAAGACTTCCCAGGTTTGTTCGTTCACTATCTGATAGGAAGCCAGAAGATTGCAGCACTGCTTCTGATATTGCCTTCATGTTCCAATCTCAGACAAGAAAAATGGAGATTGTTAATGAAGAATAGATTGCTGGTTTGTATATTATTATTTTGTTAATATCATTATATAAGAGGATAACATACCACTTAATGCTTATATATTTACATATTTAACTACTAAACTTAAATTTTTTGCATACATACCAACTTATCTCTGCATGAAAAAGGTGTATTTTACTTCTTTTTCATGTCGAATGGGTGATATTTCAATACTTTGGAATTGGGCGGTATGTATGTAAATGCCCATATTATATATTGTTAGTCTAATGTAAATTTTGATGTAAAAGTTATATTTTTAAAGCTTGGAACTCAGGAATATGATGTACTGTCTTTTGAATTTGTAAATACAAATATGAATTGTTTGGTGGAGGGTATATTGGTAAAAAGGGTATATTTTGTTGTCTATATTGTGCTCAAAAATATTGTTTAGTTTAGAATTTGTTCATATTAATCAATCTATTAGTTTATTTTTATGATGTAGATATATATATATATATATTTATTTATTTATTTGTGTGTGTGTGTATGTCGCCAATTGAAGCTTTTTGGTAGGTCAGTCTCTTTGAAGGTCATAAGTCCTCTCAGGTCACGAGTTTAAATCTCTTTTTTGGTCAGTTTGTCGATAAAGAGTGCGGTCCTCATACATTTAAGCACATGAGGATGGCTAAGAGTTCATATAATAGCCTCCGGCCATTCTTTTTTAAATAAATTTTAGAAGTTGAATTTACATCAAAATTAATACAACAAGACTCCCAGGTTTGTTCGTTCACTAAGCCAGAAAATAATAATAATTCAATTATAATCTTTATACTGTTTTTGGATAAATAATTTTCTAGATTTTACTCTGCTGAAAAATAAGAAAACAAATAAATTCATCTGTCGAAAGCAACCAGCCATCAAAATGGATGAGCGGTGGAGAACGCCTCAAAGGGCTCTTCAGGTATCCACCGTTCGCCTCTTCTTGGAGCAATTTTTAATGGACGGTTCTGATTTTCCATTGTTAGATGTAGTGCACACCCTCTGCAAAAAGGGTTTGATAATTAAAAAATGATACAATTGAAGAAATATGGTTCAAAAATTTTATGATTTCAATATACAAATAATTAAGTTAAAGTAAGAGCACAAAAATTTTATAAGCAGCTTCTAAACTACTTTTAGCTTTAGATCGGTCCAATAGTTATTATTTTTTTTGGAAGATTTACATGCAGACCACTTGATTCCTAAGAAATTACTTATGTAATACTTAAACCTTCAAATTTTTTATTTGATATGAGAAACTTGTGTGGTATAAATGCAAAACATAACGGTCGAATGAAGCCACTAGTCGGCAAACAGACGTTCAATCAGTTGGAAGGTTGTCGGTTGGTCTTTCAAGGGAACGTTTCAAGAAGAGGCACTCCTATCTTCAGGAAAAACTGGGCAGAGAGTGTACCACCGTAATCCAACGGGCAGCCTCTCTTGGACTATGAACATTCTCAGAAGGTCAGAGATACGTTCTTTGGTGGGCCCTTTGGACATTTTGTGAGGAGTTCTCGAATCAATTAAGAGAACTGGTCGTGAATGACTACCCCTAGGATTGGACTCCTTTTAACTCTACATTCGGTTGTAATTCTGTTTGGTCAGCTCAGAGTTCCAACTGAAGAAATAGATGCTTGATATTGACTATCCCGATACAGTGTCCTTTGATATTTGTCAGTGGGATTCGTTGAACTATCTCGAGATCCATGCTGATATGTTTTTGTACATATTTAATACCTTGATTTTCTTACTTCTTGAAAACTACAAGTACGATAAAAATAAGAGAATTAAAAACAAAAAATGGATTCATTTATTGCATGGTAAGTATTTTCAATAATTAAACTTCCTAATTTTTGTGCCTGCATCCCCTATAAATAGGGCAGAATTAGCACTTCTCCGTCACTTTTTTCTCAGTTTCCTTCCTTTCAGTCGGTTATCAATAGAATATATCTTTATAGGGAATGATAAGAAGGCTTTTGCATAGGTGGTTAATAAGGCGGCGATGATGAAGGCCTTTGGACTTTCTGCTGAAATACTTCACCCGTCAATTGATGCATGGGAGAAGAGGAAACTAAAGGGTCATCGACCTGCAACAAAAAATAAATAAAAAAAAGTCGAAGGATGGGGGTCGACCAGTAACAGTAGAGGTCGAAGGGAGAGTCCATCGGTCGGTCAACATGAAAAGACCGAAAGGAGGGAGCTGACCGAAAATAGATAAATGGGTTAAATAAGTGGCCTATAAGAAGCAGAGGGTAGAGGAGCTAAAGAAAGAGACTAAGTCGTCCGACTCAATTCCGCTCCATCAAGAGACGGGCATCAGGGCAGACAGGTGCACCGTAGATGCGATGGCCCTTTGCCCCTACAACAATCTGTGAACCCACCAGCTCAAAAACCTATCCAGGTGGTCTCGCCTTTCCATCGGTCGATAAACCCAACCAGGCGGGTGTTCGGCTGCTTTTTGGTGTGTCTTTCATCTTTCCAACCGTCTGAGGTGAATCGAATTCTTAGTATGAGGGACTCAACCTCTTTGATTGAGTAGATTCGTCATTATTTTATTTGAAACTTGGTTACTCCTGCACATGTGACTATCCAGATCATCGACTCATCGATGATTGGAGTCGGCCATTTTTTGGTTCCAAAGGCGGCCGACGGACCGTCAGCTACTACCCATGATGGAGGTGCAATCAATTGTTTTATTGACCCTCATGAGGACGTTGAAAGGTAGACTGACGGGCGGTGAGGATAACCATATCGCTGACTCGCGCATGGACAGGGCAGTGGACTCCTTCGCCTAGGAAGTTGGCCTGCAGAGGGAAGCGTCATGCAGGACTGGAAGGAAAAACTAGCGGCCCTTCGCCAAGAACATACTGTAGAGTTGGCAGCCCTCCGGACATATATGAAGACTGTCCAAAAGGAACTGAAGGAAGTCCAAGCGACCTGTTCGATCCCTAGGGTTCGAACGTTGACTTCCCCAAGTACTTTATATATAATGGTCAAGGGTAAGTCTTATATTGACCGAGGCGACCGAATAACCCAGTATAAACTATTTTTTTTATCTTGAATAAATAAATAAATAATTATTTTGCAAATTTTCAAAATCTTGTCATTTCATTTTCTCGAACATTGTGTTGATTTTATGCGAATTTCCAGATAAAGAGATACAACTTTGCAACTTTTTGACTTCCCCAAGTACTTTATATATAATGGTCAAGGGTAAGTCTTATATTGACCGAGGCGACCGAATAACCCAATATAAACTATTTTTTATCTTGAATAAATAAATAAATAAATAATTATTTTGCAAATTTTCAAAATCTTGTCATTTCATTTTCTCGAACATTATTTTGATTTTATGCGAATTTCCAGATATCGAGATACGACTTTGCAACTTTTTGACTTCCCCAAGTACCTTATATATAATGGTCAAGGGTAAAAAGTTTTTTGCGGTTTACAAATTCTCTTTTCCCTTCCCTCAAGTCATTTTTTTTGTCTTTCTCCTTGGGTTGATTTGTTTTCATTGGTTCTCATGGCTTCCAAATGCTCCCATCAAATCTTTAGTTTCGTGCCAACGAGCGTGACGTCTTGTCTTTTGTCATTCGACATTGAATTGCTTAAAGACACATGCACGTATAGTTCAAACATAATGCTCGAGGCTGTGGGATCGGAAGCTCGGGCGACCAAGGATTCCAGCGATGATTTGATTTTCTATAGAGAAGAGTTTCTGCGGGGACATCGGCGCCCTTCTGCCCCGAAATTCGGTAGATCTTGAACCCATATGGAGTAATCCCTGCACAAATAAAACCAAACTCAGACGGCGGATAAAGATCCTCTGATCTCGAGAGTTACTCTTATGTGTTCTCCTTCAATGTGGAGCCCGATGATTACGTTGTCTTTGGATCGACGAGGAAATTCCATTTGGTGATTTTGAGAATAAGGTCAAAGATTAGAAGCCTTGTTTCCTCTGCAGGTTTTGCCAAAACTGGGGGATTGCGACACGGCCGACTGCAGAGTCATATAAGGAGTCCCAACACGAATCTTGGGACCAGCATCGACCGTAACGGGCAAACAATTGTCAGTTATTCAATACACATATATGATGACAGTGAACCGGGTGTTGAATCCCGCTCGATTTGGCGCCCCAGAATTGTGGACCGCATCGGATGAGGAAAGGTGACAGATTGAGAAGATCTCTCGGCTTTTCCAAGAGTCGTGGAAAAGAAAGGTTGTTGCTCCCACGATCACCAGAGAAGTGGTCAGGAAGAAGAACTAAAAGAAGACATGGATGACCAGACAGTCAGAGTTGTCCCAATTTCGGAATTCATTGATTATGTTTTTGAAACAACACTTGATATTCAAAACATTATCATCAGAGACTTAATTTTGATTGAATGAAAACCCAATTTGATGAACGTAGGTCCTTCGAGGAAGCATCGCCAAGAGGACGAAAGAACTCCCAGTGTTTTTTGATTAGATGTCAGGGAGTCATCGAAATGACCGTCGACATGGGGAGTTCCTTTGCCATCTTCCTCAGGCTTTATTCCTCTGTTTTAAAGAAGGGAGGCTAGTCGGCATTCTCTAGGGTCGCAAGCTGAATCGGCCAAAGAGCTAGAAAGGGGAGACATGGATGAACACTGGCTGGGAGAAGAAGAGGTTGGATCAAAGTCTAGGCTCCAACTGATGACTTTGATTCCTCTCTCCCGTTGCCTCCCAAAAAAAAATAATAATAATAATAAATAACAAAAAGAGGCCAAGGTTTATTGGAGTTCGATGCAGGAGCAGTCGAAGGTCTTCCTTAGCCTGGACCCCCACTTCGCCCTAATAAATGTGCTGAGGGATTGATTTACAAAAGCTCCTGGGACGGCGGAGTATGCTTCGACGATTGTCGATGTGCTTTGGTCGGAGAGCTTCCAAAAATACCTGAACAACCTTCGGCCAAAGGACCTCTGTCATATGATTGACCGGTACCGGTTGCTGGAACTCGCAGCCACGCATCATATGTTCTCCCTTTACCTTGAAGTAAGAGAGAGATCTTTGAAGACAGAGGCAAAGGCGAATAAAGCAAAGGCTCGAGTGAGAGCAACTAAAGATCGGGCGACCTTAGCAGAGGCTCGACTGGAGGAGGCTAAAACGGAGCTGGAGATTGCATCTGAGTGGGTAGCTACTATTCAAGAAGAGAACACCGAACTAACAAAGAAGGTGGCAAGGATGAAGACGCTCAAAGAGTTTTTTTTTACACTCAAATCTCACAACTAAATACAAGTACTATGTTAGTCATCGACCAATTTGTTAGGGTTGGGATTGTCGACCCAAAGTACTCTGATTTAGATGAATTCAAGAAACTTCTCGTTGCTCCCTCAACAGTGGCTCTAAGAAAGAATTCTGATGGAAATAATGTGGCAAACAGAGGACCATCCAACACTCGCTCCAAAAATTTTTTTTCTTAAAATGTAATTAAAACTTTGTATATAGCAAGCAAAATTTTGTATAGAAAGAGAAGATATAAAATTGAACGATTATATGAATGAAACACAACATTCGGTCTGACTTTTATCTTTGTTTTATTATTTTTTTATTGTATTTACCTGTTTCACTCAATTATGGTATGTTGCATTACTCGCCTTTGTCTTTTTGGTCGATCATGGTATGATTTTTGCCCAGCTCAAGTCTATATTGTGTATGTCTCATTTGCTTAGTTGTGCCATTGCCACGAACAATGTTGATCGTCGAGACGTAGTCGTTGGGATGATTTGAGCAATACCCTTTGCGGAGCTTGTCGCTACTGGGCAATGAACCATCTTAAGCACTTCGCTCGGCTCAAGTTTTAGGGATATGTTTTTGTTTCTTGAGCATTGAGGATCAGCCTTTAATGTGTGTACACTGATCGGACGTCATGGCGCTGTCGATCATTTTTTATTTATTTTTTCTCAGCCAATTGGAAGGCATGCATCATAGTCGGTTTATTTTAGGTGTCATCGCTTGGCTCAGACCATAATATGAGTCTCCGTTGTATGGGGGGAACTACATTTCATTTTGCTCACACTATCCCTCGTAAGGGCATAGTCGTCGATACTCTTTTTTAAGGTGATTTTCTCGGTACCCTTAGCAGAGCTTGTTGCTACTGGGCAAGGAACCACCTTTGGAAATTCTTCTGATCCAAGATTGGAGACAAGTTTATGAGGCGATAGTTTTGCGAGACGAACCATTACATTTATTGATGATAGGATGTCTTAACGTCGTTGTCGGTCGCGGTTTAGGTTACTTTAGTTCTCCAAGTGTCGTTTAGATGTTAAAGTGCATTTTCTCGAGTTCCCTGAGTGTCGTTCGAACCTTGGGTCATGGACGCATAGTTAACAATTATTTTCATTAACATTTTGTTAAAACAAAAAAATTTCTAAGCGTTGGAAATTAAAAACTCGTTTATTATTTCTTTTGTGTTGGTACAACGAATTTAATTTAAGGGAAAATTTTCTTGAGATCATTCTCGCTCCACGTCCGGGGAACTTATTTCCCAGTGTATGTCTTCAACTTAAATGCTCCTCAAGCAACTATTTGATCAAAACAATGAATGGGTCAATTCATGTTTGCACGAGTTTATCGATCGTCTTTCCTAAGGCTTGCTAAGTCAGCTTTCTTCAGAACTATGTCGTCGAGCACAAATTCTCTCTCTCGAACGTGTTTGTTGTAGTACCGAGCAATCCTCCTTTTTACTTCTTCATGCCAAAGCGCTGCATTGGTTCAACTTTCCTCAAGTAAGTTGAGCGCGAGCACCATTCCTTTATCGTTTGCCTCCTGACAGTCGGTGAGATTCTCCTCGCCGAGCACGGAGGCTGTGACGACCCACTGGCTGTGGTAGTTATACTCCACCAGCAAAACATTGTTTTTGTCTCGTGGGATAAGCATATAAGGAGTTTGCCCGATTGTCGTAGATGATGTTGTTTGAACTGCCCCAAGGACCGACAAAAGTACGCTAGATTCTTTTTTTACTCCAACTTTTTTCTTTAGAAGATTCAGAAAGAACTTGTTGGCAGCGTCCGTTTGTCCATTGGTCCGGGGATGATTCACAGAAGTGAACTTTAAGTTGATCCATTGATCGTCGTAGATGATGTGCGTCTAGATGAAGTTTCGGACGACCTATTTTGAATAGTAATTCACTGCGACTAAGAGGAATTTGTCTTGGCCTTTTGAAGGAGGAAATTGCCCAATGATGTCATGCCTTCATATAGCAAAAGGTCGGGAACTAACAATTGGCTATAGTTTATGGGTCAGTTGATGTTGCAACGGAACATACTTCTGGCATTGCTCAAACCTTTTGGAAAACTCATTTGCATTCTTCATGAGGATTGGTCGAAAGTAGCTTTGTCGTTGAATTCAATGTACCAAGGTTTTCCCTCTAGAGTGACTCCCACATTCATCAGAGTGCACCACTCAGAGAATTTCTTTCGCCTCATTTTCCTTGATGCATCTCAGGAAGAGTGAGGTGGCCGACCATCAGAAAAGTATTGAGAGACAAGTGTGCATTGATCTACTACGGTAATGAAACTTGAGATATTTTTTATTGAAAAATTACAAATAAATATGCTTGTATGGCCTAGATTTGATAAAATTTTACCTTCTTCCTCCGTTCATTTTTTCCTCTTACGCCCATTATCCTTCTTTATTGGAGGAGATTTCTATAAAATTGAAAGAACTTCACTGGCATGACATTTGATTAAGATATAGAGAATAAGCAAAAAGATTATATACCTCAGATAGAGCTAAAATTCTAGCATGCCTTTCAGCATGTGTCTCCTGCTCCTCCTCAAGTTCTCCATCGCTGTTTAACATTAATTTCAGCCTACCCTCATCATGCAGCTTTTTGGACCCCGCATGCCTCTTTGACGAGCATTAACGACAATTAAAAACAAAAAAATCAAACATATAGTTTGGAGAAATAAATGTCACATTTCATAATATATTTATACATTGAAGGGAAATTTGCATGCCCAGCACATAACTCTTATGTATTTACATATTACACGCCTAAACTTCCATATTTACATATATGGCACTTTGGTGCTTTAAACCTACGCTTCAAAAGGTGTATTTTGACTTTTAAAAAGTGGTAATAGTGCAATTTTTTTATGAGATATTAGAAATTTGAGTGCAAAGTGTGTAATATGAAAGTTTAGGTGTAAGATATGTAAATAAATAAGAAATGTGTGCTATGCATGTAAATGCCCCTAAATTGAATTAGGCTTCATTTGGTTTCTGCTTTCTGCTTCTTTTTCATTAGAAAAACAGCAAATGAAATATCAGCTTTTGAGGAAGAGGAAAACAGATTTTAAGAAATTCTGATAGCATATAGAAAAGCAAAAAACCATACCAAATGAAGACTTTTAGATAAGAGCAGAGATAAAAGTTTAAGGAATTGAGGCATCAATAACATTTATAACTCTCGAAAACAGAATATGGAGCTTACTTTTGAAGAGAGGTGTGCACCAACAGCATCTTCATTTAAGCAGAGAATTCTGGGGCACAGTCTACACTTGAAAACTGACTTAAATTTAAGAATAAAGTTGGAAATATTGGTCTGAATTGGATGTATCTTTCTCCCTGTCATTTCATGAGCCATCTCAACTTCATTACCAGGTACCTTGTCAACCATCTTGCTGCCTTTCATGTTATCACCAGTCATATCTTCCTCATTAATAAGAATCTCTAATCAAAACATGGATATAAACATGACAACATTCTATTAGCTCAATCAAGATAACATTTTATGATATTATAGCAGTAGTTGCATAAAAAAAGCTTCTATGCACATTAAGCAAAAATAAATAACTGATTGCTTGATTACATAAAGGAGCATTTACACACATAACACCAAATTCCTATGTATTTACATATCTAACACCTAAACTTTACTTTATACATTTATGCCACCCTAATCTTTCATATCACATCGCAAATATTAATATTTCAACATTTAAAATGTGAAATATATCTAAAACCAAAAATTGAATGCCCTGAAACTTACATAATGAACCAAACACATATAAAGTAGACTACTTAGAAAATTGAATGCCCTGAAACTTACCAAAAAACAATCTAAAATGTAGCAAAGCAGAACATCGTTACTTTAAATAGGTTAGTTACAAACAAATTGAGCGAAGAACAATATGATTTATACAAAGAATTGTTTTCATAACTAGATCAGAAAAAAAAAATCCCACAACTTTTTGGACAATGCAACAGTAAAAGTATGTATTCAAGAAAACTCTGGAAGAGGGATCAAATCATGATAATAGTAAGAATACTGGCGACCAAAACAGGAGTTAACAATGATAAAAAATGCTGATGTTAAAAGTAAAACTCAATAGAAAACACACAAATATTTCTGAAGCACAACGAATTAACCTGCCAGTGAAAAAACATACTTGTAACAGCTAGCCCAGATTTCACACAATATGTGGATTTATTTTAAATTAAAAAGTAAATTACAATAGACGATCAAAAATAAGTTATCTAGATGGCTTATTTTCATCATATGCAATTATTATTGGCATATATTTGGAGAAGGTAGTTACATGAAAAGTTTTCAGCTAATAAAAACCAATCAATTTACCGTTAGAACAATTGATCTTATCCCAATATCCCTTCAATAATAAATCTTTAATATCCACTAACATCCACCTCACTCTGCATGCACAATAAAGCATCTGTCACACTCCCCATCACATCATACAACCATACAGCTCTTTTCTTATTTTAGGTTTTGAACATGGTATGCGGTGTCCCTAAAATAATATTGTTCGATTTTGCCAAATTGCTTCTCAAAGGAAGAACATTGCATTTCCTTCAATAGCAGGACTATATATTTTTTCACATAATTTTCAAGTTAAACTGTTAAGAATTCAAACTTAAAAGAGAAAAAATAAGCATGAGACAAGTAATTAACCATAAATATATATATTTTAATGTCAAGCTATTGAAGACAAGGTTTGCCTAACAATACCTGAGGTATCAACATCGCCCTGGTTATTTGAACTGTCCTCGCTTTCATACCCTGACCCTGTCAGAATAAACAGAAATAGAACAAAGAATGATTAAGGTGGTGGGGCGTCATTAAAATTACCACCAAAGTGAATCACAAATAAAAATATTGCAAAAGCAAGCAAAACTTATGCTATCAACAAATTTGAGAAGTTTTAGTCAGCATCAATGATCAAAAATCTCAAAATGGAACATGCTTATGAGTGAATAAAAAATTTCGCAGAAAAAACAAAATTGTAGGCACCTTACCCAGCTTCTGTTTGAAGTAATCAATTCCTGAATTAACATGGAGATCCATGGAATTCACCTGTGATCTACAGCTTAACCATGAATCATAATGCTTTGAAAAATCTCACACAGATCAACCGAATAAGAGGGAGAAAAATGCATCTTCAGTTGCAAAATACCAAACTCAGAAGATAATAGTACAACATAGGGATCAAAACAAAATAATATAAAGACATATGCACATCTTGATCACTCATGTGCCAGGTCAAAGGACTTGACTAAGTTGTACAAAAACATTATTCGGCGTCGACCTCCATCCCCAACACAAACACACACGCACGAACACAGAACTCTTAGGCAATGTTTGGTTGCAGACTGAATTTACATTAAATAGTATTTATCAAATCTTGTAAATCCAATCTTCAATTTCACAGGAATGAACTCTCGAGCGACGGCAGCAAGAAATTCTTAAATTCGTCGAATATTCAGATTGACTAAATCCAGATTTATGCCCTAAAACAAACGGAATGCTGGAAGAAAAGTCAGAATGTGAACATTTTTTATCTAACGGAGCGTTGGATTTAATTTTAATTTTTTTTTTTTTTATGTTTGGCTGGATTTATGCTAAATCCATTGCTAAATCTCCTTAAAATGATGCTATCAAACACCGCCTTAGTTAAGTAGGCTAGCCATAGTCCTTATGCATAGCTGGAGTCAGTAGAACTTATTATAGTGAGGAAAAGCTTGCAAAGTTTATAGTTACAAAAAATCTCTCTCTCTTTTAAAAAGTGTGACTTCAGCGAAATATTTCCAAAATCCCCCATATGTTCCTATCTTAATCAAAAACATCAAGCAGATTCACTGGGTGTATGCAAACATAATCAAAAGAGTATTCTCACTCCTTTGCCTGCTCTCTTTCAATATGGATCTCTTTTTGTGCTTCTCCTCCTTGCCGGAGAAGAAGAAAAGGACAAGATAAATGAGCAAACAAAAGAAGGATTATAAGGGAAATGTTTTGCTATGACTTATGTGAAACCCAATCAATATGGAATGTGAGATAACCAAGAGACCTGGGAAAGTTCGAGGCCTCTTTTGCACAAAGAACCTTTATCCAAGGCCCAAAATTTGCCTACCATTTTTGTCAAAGGACCATAATTTAAAAACATCAGGTAGTATCAGATAGAGCCAAGTTTCTTAATCCTTGGTGCTTAGTTTTAAATAAGAGCAGTTAAAAACAAATCAAAGCACTTTCTATGCTCTAAAGCTCTACACAAAGGGGTGCAATTACCATGTCAAACAAATTATGAAAAAGCCTTAAGTGACTCGGTTGCCCAAGTCACTCTTTAATAACGCCAAGGGGCCGTGTTGATTGAGATGTTCAACCAATAAGCTCTATGACAAATGAGAAATCAACAAACATGGATGATCAATCACAAATGAAAGTAACAGTACAATAAAGGGAGAGATTAGAAAAAAATTATGGAGATCAATAGACGAAGAAGACTCAAATGTGCAAGCAAATCAATCCCACAATTTATCAGTTATGATGGTTCAATCAATGTTAAGAAGTTAGATGAATGGACGCGTCCACTGGAAACCTATTCAACCTCTATGATTACACAACAGAAAAGGTTTTTTTTTTCATCGAAAAATCACCAACCATGCATCAACAAGGTGAAATGCCCATCTTCTAATTGATAAACTGGAAATCACATGGGAACATTTGAGAGAATTATTTGCCAAGCATTCTACTTCATAGGGTATGAAGAATATGGGTGGAAGCAGTGACACGAACTACATCAAAGAGAAGACAAATATGTGCAAGAGTATACTATGGAGTTAAGAAAAAAATCTAACAATTTTGACATTATAATAAAAGAAATGTCAACAAAGTACACTTCTGTATTAAATTTCAAAATCTCCAATAAACTTTGAACTTTTTTCAATATAGGGCATGAGCCAAGTTAGTAACCTTGTCTCGGCCAATGACAGAAAGAACAATATTCAAAAAAAAAAATTCTTAAAGGACGATCATAAATCTTTATCTTCTAGATCAAATTTTTATCGCTACTGCATTGTCAACAATGATGAACACTATTGGAAATTTCTTCAAAACACTTTTATACTTTTATGAGAAATTTAAGAAAATAAAATTAGAAGAGTAGAAAGGTGATTACATCTCTTGACATAAAGCAAACATTGGAATCAATAACAACATCCAAACTCAAGTTTATCCTTGATGACAAAGCAAACAAAATAGACAAGAGCCCAACATTAAGCAACAATATATGTGAGGAACTTTTCAACTTGCGTGTATAAATTAGGCCAAATAGTTAGGCCAAAGGTGGTAAATGCCATCAAAAACATGGGAATTCAAAACAATCTAATATTTTCAAATCTCATTCAATAACATTATTTAGAGAAAACACCTCACAACAAATCTGACTCTCTCGGTTCGATCCATTTGGACATATAGATTGGAATTGACCAAAAAAAATTGGCTCCATTTTGCCATCACCCAATGGCACATACATGAAGTGTTGTGTGAATTGATCACTCTTGAGGAACTTCAGTCATTTTTTTATAGTTCTTATGTCTGAGATAGACATGCAATCTACTAAAGGATGCTTAAAAATATCAATTCACAAAGAATGACCAAAATTACACCATGAATATAAACAGAGATATTCAACTCAAACATGCAAAGATAACATGAAAAAAAATAAAAGTAATTAATTGTCATTAAAATTTTAATCTTATCTTCATTTTAATAAAAAATCAAGATGATGATGCTCTTTCCCATAGTAAGAAAAGAAACAACAACAAATTATGGAAAAATATGTAATACGCTTCCAATAATAGAGGGATCTTTCACAACAAATGATGTTGGAACATAATACTCAACTAATTTCGGAAAAGAAATATGAGAACGTGTTCCAAATTAAGAAAAAAAGGATAAACAAGGCACCAGTCTTATTTTAAACCAAAACCAATATTCCTTCTCAATTTGGAGTCAACAAAAACGAAGCTGACACCACAAGTCACCAAGTTAATCATAAGAAAAAAAATTATCTTTTGCACATTAAAAAGCATGGGAACCAAAAAAAAAAAAAGCAAAAAAGCGAGTTGTTAAGTGCATCATATGCCAAGTGATAAAGTTAGAACAAAGTCAACCATACTTTCACACATCCACTAAAATTCATGGGAGTGAATTTACATTTTAAAAGGGGGTATATAATGTTTAGGTCTATATCAAATTATTTTTATGTATCTATTTCATGATCACCATATATCAAATCCTTTTTTACTCATCTAATTCATGAAGAAATTTCAAATTCCTCGCTCTCGCATTCATGCATGTTCTTCCATGAAACATTTTCTTCCTTCTCATTAACATAATCATTTATCTTTAATGAAGAGTTCTTTCATCTACTCCATAGGCTTCTTTAAAACTTCATCTCTATCTCTCAATCCATATGAGAGGCTCTATAACATCTATATAATTTGCATCTCCTTCAACCTATCCTAAAAAGTCATGAATGGCTAGACATAATTCTTTGTGACCATGGGCCTCTTCCTAGCCTGGTTAGGGTTGGGCAAATGAGTTGTTCTTAGGGCCTCTTTCTCCATTTCTCCTTCGATGTTGAATATAATGACAGTGAGGATGGAATCCCAACACGCTCTACAATGGTATTAATAGGCACCGTAATGCTTTTTGTAAGAACATCATGAGCCCCAACATGCTTCTTGAGAATATTAGTAAAAGCACATGTCTGCTTACGATGATGGTGTCTCACAAAGTCAATGTCCGAGTCTCCTTCCTCATTTGTGCTTCCTGACAACTTCACTGTCAAATAAATATTCCTTCAAATATTACCTCTTGAGTCGCTTCCATGGTGGGAGATTTTTTACTAATCCCCATATATTTTCTTCAGAAAAAACAATGTCATTTCTAAAAGAGAACACCAAGTCCTCTTCTTCCTTAACTCCAACAATCAAAGACGAGTCGTCGTCATTGGCATATCTAAAATAAAGATACCACATCATCATTTTTTGCAGGCATAGTGAGGATTCCATCATCATTTCAACAAAAAATCCCATCATCAACAAATAGGTTTCCATCAATTTTCTCCTTAACAAAAAAACATTGGTCCATAAAAAAAGGGGGTTAAATCCAAGCAATCAACATTATTAAAAGGAATAGATAACAATGGAAACTCGAGTATAGAAACTACTTCAAGAGTAGCTACTACCTCTCCCAATTTGGTATCAATAGCAATAAAGCAAGGATCAAGACAGTTCAACAATGGAAATGTAGCCTATATCTTTTTCAAAAGTATAAATTGGATGCCTATGGAAATTTAAAAACCAAACATTTACAAAATTCTAGCATCATAACTACGTGTAGTTACAGTCCCTTAACAAAGAAGACCAAATCCATGAAACAAAAGAAAAAAATTGGGATCAACAGCTTCCTCGAAAGTTTGCATGCCATGTCTCATGCTCCAATAGCGAGGGCGGTGACATTTCATGGATCACCACAACACTGAAAATGTAGCCAACATCTTCCTCAAAATCTTGCATATGATGCCTCGTGCTCCTGTAAGGGGTGGCCAAAGTAAGCTTCTTCATAATCAACATATGGAGAAGCAAGAAGACATTGGGAAAAAGTAGAAGGAACTAGTCATCAACTTTTAACCTTTAGTACAGATAAGTAGTATCCAGGCACCCTACTATTGTTGAGAGTTTTAAGGTAAGCAGATGACTTATGTTTCAAATTGAGTGAGCGCTAGTCACATCTCAAATAATGATACATGTCTTTTACAACCATTGCTTTATGGAATGGTTTCAACCAATCATGAGACAATACTGGGTAAAGAAATAACCCAACTCATTAATCAAATGATCTTAGTCCATTTGTTGAGCACCATTGAGACACACACACACACGAACATATTTGCCATCATGTAGAGCTGATTGACAAGACACTCTAGTTGCCTCAACCATAGAACTCATATACTTCTAAGCATGAATGCACTTCTCAATCAAGTAGAACTGTTCAACAAATTTGAATCCTCTCAAAAACCTAGACAATGTTACCCACGAGACATCATCATGATCAAACACCAAAGATCTCCTCTTTCAAATAATTATTCCAACAAATGCTCTTCAAAACATGACATCCTAGCATGCAACAAACCTCGGTCCTGTACACCATGCATCCTCCATCCTCCAGTGGCGCCCCTTAAATGATGTTTGGCCTCTTGCAACCCTATTAATCGTGCAAAATCACAAGTGTATAAGCCATCCATACAACTATAAAAGGATCACCACAGCTCACACACTCCCTAAAGTCTTGATCCAGGCAACTCTTCAAAATCCCGGATGTTTGGCAAAGGTTCATATTTCACATATACAACTTGAAATGCATGTTATTGTGGAGTTTTCTTTTGAAGTATGGAGCACAATTTAAGTGTGTGCTTGCTCTGCTCGTCGTCTATCAAAAGCCCTCCACTACTTAGCCAGGTTTACTACTTTCATCCTAGGGGGGTGTTTGGTAGCAAACTTTTAATAGGATTTAACCCAAGATTTCATCTAAATCCAGCCAAACACCAAAAAAAAGGAAAACCAAATCCAACTATTCGTTAAATCCAAATCTCTCTCATTCTGTCTGTTTCTCCCCCTTATGTTTTTTTCTACGGCCTGCATCTGGATTTATCAAATCTGAGTAGGAGGCGGATTATATGGATTTATGTTGGCGTTTCTTGACTGGTCCATCTTCGTGGTGAACTGACCGAAATCCACAGATTTGATAAATCCTATTAAAGTAAATCTTCTGCCGCAACCAAACACCACCTAATTTTACCTTTATTGCAACCTTTTTCGTTATTCTTTTGTTCACACTTTCCTTGTACACGCTAAGCAATAAAGATTCAGTTCGCCTTCTCATAAGCCCGCCATAAAACTACTACCAAGTCCCGATCCCGACTGTATCACGTATCACTGAAATGGGCAAACTGACTTGACCTTATGAACTCGTGGCATACAAAGATCACGGAGCTCGTTAAATGAAGAATATACTTACCTCGCAAAGCAAGAAAAAACAAAGAAGTTTTTGTGTTTTCATCAGATAGGATAAAAGATGAAAAGTATCAAAAATATCAAAGATAAATACAGTATTGATCCATAAGGGTAAATCAGATAACGTACCGGGAGAACGGTGAAGCAGAATGTTCTTATCACCTCCCCTTCTTCCCTCCTCATCTTCAACATCACGGCCTTCCTCCGCATCTACTTCATTAAAAGAGTCGGAGTCATCCGATGACGATGACTCAGAAGTGCCGCTAATGTCTCCGTGCTCGACTTTATAGAATCGCCTCTTTATCATTGCTTAGAAGCGCGGTGTGGTATAAAAGAGATAGATTGCGATCGTAGAGGAGAGAACAAGAGATGAAGAGGACTATGGGGCTGTTCAGTCGCAGGATTTTAAGCTAAATAACGTTTTTACTCCCTTTCACCTCGAATCCCGGATTTAGGAAGGAGAAAGAAGATGGAGTTTCGGATCTTAGTACCCTGCGATCCCCAGTTAGGGAAGCGGAGCTTCTCAAAATCGATCTTTGTTCGCTTTACGTTTGGCGCGGCTTATTTAGAGAGGTGCGGCCTGAGAATTCAATTAGGACCTTTTAGTACCTTTTATGCAACGATCCATGGTTTCTTCGCCATTAAGGGGTCTGTTAACAAGAGATTATCTTAATAATCTGACTTACTGTTTATGGCAGCTTTTTCAGATTAGTTTATTGGTGATTAAATAATATTTCTCCCTCTGTCTTATAAAACTGCTTGGGGCAGCTTATTCAGAATAGTTTATTGGTAGTACAGAAACATATAGTGCAGAATCATATAATCATCACAGATCAGTTTCAAAAGATGACATACAGTTCTCACACTCTCGTGAGTACCAGAAGAAATAAAAAAGGACAAAGACAAATACAACTACAATGAGAAATATGAAAATATTTAATTTCAAACTCTGGGTACGTCTGTCCTCAGCTGCACTATCAACCTGAGAAAACATCGGATTCTCATGATTGTTGGTAGTGTAATATGTGGGATTGTCAACCCACTGGAAGAAACCGCAACGAGCTGAAACACCCTTGGCACAACTGTAGAACTGTCTTTCAAAGCTATGAGATTGACGTGACGTGAGCAACGGAGACGGTAGTCTACAATAACAAAAAATACATCTGTCTGTAATTGATATCCTAGAAGTCATGTTTGTATTACTGTGAAAAAAACCAGTAATTGATATCCTAGAAGTCATGTTTGTATTACTGCGAAAAAAACCAAAAAAAAAATTTGAATGTCAGAACTTATCCCAAAAAAAAAAAAAATTACACATAAAAATTGATCTACATATATACGAAGAAAAGAAAGACTTGTTGGATTAACTGTCATACATAGCATCTGCAATAGACTCCCTCAGAGCAGCCATGTCGGTTGCACCCTCACCGTCCTGAGTTTCATACTCAGTAGCCTCGATCTCATTATCAGCTAGAGATCTTGAAGGTTCTAGGAAGTCAATAATTGGATCATCATCAATATTGAAGTTTGTGTCTGAATGAGAGGGATGTCGTCAGATGAAGTTGTGAAGTGTCATAGTGGCCACCACAATATGCACCTATTTGGGAAATGAATATGAGGACATATCACGTAGGATAACTTATTTCTTTTTTCACACTCCAAATGTTCTTTCAATAACCCCTCGTAAAGAGGAGTGTCGTTTGTTAAACTTTTCTTTTCTGCCACGAATCGTGTCACTTGCTCGCTCAAAATCAAGAATATGGTATCTGGTGTCTGGATAGTGCTTCAGGTAGCCCCTTAGCATCGGATACCCAACATCTACCAAATAATACTTCTATGTTATGAAAGACAATATTAATTAAAAATAATAAATGTAATTAACAAGATGTTTAATTAAGATGAGCAAACATAGAGGTGGGTGAGGATAATTAACAAGATGTTTAATTAAGATGAGCAAACATGGAGGTGGGTGAGGAAAACACTGTGTTCTATTTCTAGTTGCATAGGAAAAAAGATGATTGTCATGTGCACTTCCTTCCCACCCCGCCATTACAAATGTGAAGCACATGTTGAAGTCACACACTGCCATCACATTTTGGGTAGTTTTACCACTCCGACTAATATACACTATCTTTTCATGACTTGGTAGTTGGGCATCCACATGCGTACCATCGATTGCTCCAATGCAGTTCTATAATTCATAATTAGTAATTCATCAGGTATTGAAATAAAATAACAAACTAATCAAACTTACTTTGAAATACGACATGTAACAGGGATCATTTGCAATTTATTCAGGAATAGTTGCGAACGATGGATCTGATGGCTTAATGTTTTGCGCTGCTAAGCTCACAAGTGCTTGTATACCTTTGTAGAAGTATCGACTAATTGTTTCCAAGGAATGCTGAAATCTCTCTATAGCTCCTCTAAATGATTCATTTTGTGAGAGAATATATAATGTTATAGCCAACCCCTCACTCGTGATCGTTCTAGAAGAACATTGGAGGTCGTGGTTACAACATAAGTCAAGTAGAAGATCCATAAAAATGGGTGCAGTCATTCAAAAAATGATGTTGGGCCTTATTGAATGTCCAGCAAACATCTCACCCACCCATTTGTCCCCAACATATGAGGACGTCATGTGTGGTATCTGTCTAGTGTTGGAGCGGTAATATTCCAACAATAATATCGCTATTGCTGCAGCCCATGTCATTCTTTTACGACGTTCTTGTAGTAGATCCATCCTGAAATTATAAATGCATTAGGATGAAATAATTTAGTAGAAAATGACATAAATGAAATACATCTAGTGAAGAAAGCATCTGGAAAATGACATAAATGAAATACATAACATCAATAAATGAAGTACATAAAATGAAATTTCAAGCATCAAGAAATGAAGTACATCAAATGAAATGCAAAGCATCAGGAAATGACGTACATAAAATGAAATATATCTACTGACATATTAATACAAAACAGTCTCATTCATCTACTAAAACACTTAAATATTCAATGTGCAGCTCAGGCCGTATGATCATGAACATTTGCCGACGAGTAGTGTCCTCAAGTTTTTTAACACATTTTGACTGAAAGTGCATATCAGCAGCTAGTTCTGGAATAGTGTCTAAAATGATAACGCAGTCCCAGATGGTGCTGTTTGGGGGGATGTGAAGCAGAAAAAGCAGCAATTAGTTCATGAAATGAGCTTTTCACGAAACTATCTGTCTCTTTCTTCCTCCTGCCAAGCCTAGGCCTTTTGGACATGAAATTGGACTCTCCCATCTCATTTTGGTTAATATTAGACCCTTCTTCATCAACTATTACCTGTTCAGGTGGCAATTCACATGGTATTCCTGAAAATCCCAATTCACTTGGGTTGAATGAATTCTTTCCAGTCGCGACAACCCCCTTAAACATTATGTTCAGTTTTTCCTCGAACTCTGGCTCAACTCTGCACTGACTATATTTTTGGCAGTTGGCATTGCCTGAAACATATGACATTTATTAGATGTGTTTAGAAATTAACAAAAAAATAATGAAATTAACAAAATAAGTTTGTATTTATTACCTCCTTTCAGCCCACCATTCATCTGAAGCATCTATAATTCGTTTAACGGGATCCCAACCCAATCTGGTAGATTCATGTTTCAGCTTCTTCCATATTTTTCATTCATTCTTCAATTGATCTCATTTGTTTTTGAATTTAAGCCTGTCGTAATCTCTTCCAGGCAATTTTTTGAATCTCTTAGAAATATTTTATCAACCTTCCTTATTGAAATACGTGATTGGTCTATTCCCCAGTTCAATTTTCTTAATACATAAATTGCAAAATATATTTGTAACTTCTTTATCCCTCATTGCAGAGGGACCCCCTTCATTCACCTTAGACATTGAACTCTAAGGAATAAAGGAAAGTAAGTATTATCTAAATGTGTAATAAGAACTTCTTTATCCTTTGAAATTTCAAAAAAAAGAACATATTATAAATAAACACCGACATCCAACATCATTTTCACAACATTTCAATTTCTTTAAAAAAAAACAAGTGAACAAGAGATTTATGTGGTTCGGCCAATGACATACATCCACAGAAGGCAATCCACGAAAGTTTTATTAAGGAAATCTGTAAGATTACATAGGTACGAATTCGACCTGCCTATAAAAAAAAAGGAAATGCATTTACAATGCATTTTCTTTACTTGCAAGTTACATTCGAAAAATATTCTTCGACAACAATATATATACATAATTTGTATCATAAAATCATATCTATGTTGGCTAAAAACTGAATGCTAGTTTTTCTCTTATGTTCCCCCATTTTGATAGCTTGAAAATTATGAGAAATGCTTCATATAAAAGTTGTAAGCCGTATAAATACCATTCTTGCATCTAATATTAAAAACAAAGCCCCGCATATGCATATGAACCCTAAACCAAAAGCACTTAATTCAGATCCCTGTATATGTACTTAACTCCCCAATGCCATAAATATTGCCTCATATAAAAACAAAGCCTCCTTATATGTACTTAACTCCCCAATGCTATAACCATTGTCATTCTTAACATAAAACGAAAGATAAGAGTATGGAATCCTCTCAATGACGAGGTAGATATATGTTTGAAATATTACAATTACACGCTAGTATGCTTTCATAGAAGAATAAACAATTTCATAATGATTTGAGATGCATTTTCATGAACCAAGCCATAATCTTCAATGTATAACCAAATCAACATTGGGTTATTTGAAATTCCTGCATAACAGAAATTCCTACAAATTCTTGCAAATTCTCCATCACACAAACTGCAGCTAAACAATAATACCTTGACCAATTTGCTTAAAACTGAAGCAATACATCCCATCAAACAAACAGAGCCAAAACCATAGAAAATGCCAAAAACCAGAGGATGCCGAAAACAAATCTTGCCACATATTTCAATTGGGCTATAGCTAAAAATCCTTAGTGAACTCATATTTCATACACAAAAAAAAAATTCATTTCTTGCATCTACACTTCCTAGAAAAAGGATCAGAGAAAAGGAAGTTTTCCGAGGATCACAACTAGCAACACTAATCCAAAAATCAGATAAAATGCCAAAATATCGGGGCATAGAAAATGAAACATATCTCAACTGGCTTAAACCCAAAAACCAGAGAAAATGCCAAAAAATAGAGGATGTCGAAAACAACTCATGCCATAGATCTTAACTGGGCTATAGCTAACAACCCGTAATGTACTCATATTTCACCCGAAAAAAAAAAATTCATTTCTTGCATCTACACTTCTCAGAAAGAAGATAAGAGTAGGGAAGTCGAAAGGAAGCTTTCCAAGGATCGCAGCTAGGGAAATTGAAAGGATACCTGGTGATCAGAAAAGAAAATTGGAAAGGAAGATGGTTCAATCTCCTCTAGGGCGACGAACCAAAAAGGATTCCATCGAGGGAGAAGGCGAGGGAGATCGAGGGCACCTCCGAAATTCCTAGGGCAACGCGGATCGCTAATGCGAACGCGGGGCTCGCACTGCGTTGAACGACATAAAGGATTTATCGAACGTAGACACAGCGCGGGGGGAATAAGCCCGTGCGAACGTATTTATTAAACAGGGA